CTGGACCTGGCAGCTACCTGCCCACAGGTGAGAGCTGCTGGGCCTCTATGTGCTGGGGGAAGCAGAAGACTACACTTACATGAAGACCCCGTGCCCGTGTGTGACGGTCTCATTCATCTTCGTGCAGTGGGGGAGAAACAAGGGCAAGAATCGCTCCGCTCCTCAGCCCCTAATGGTCTTGTGTCTGCTTTGAGATCTGGAGCTTGTGGATTGCCAAGCCTATTCATCCGAAGGTCTGCAAGATGCCTGTGGCCCAGGATAACTCTGAACATGACACAACACGAGATCATAAACTTAAAGCATTGAAATTGGGGGGTAGGGTCTTGTTTTTGTTTTTGTTTTCTGGTAATTTGAGTTGGTGGTTATTGAGCATAGACTTCATGGATGACAATATTGCATTGTAGTGTCAAAATGTTGGACATGCCTGACTAACAGCTATATGAACAGAATAAATGGGAGGAAATAAGAGAGGCTGAAGCTTCTTTATCCACATGCTTCTCTGCCACTTTCCCTCAGCCAGCATCCCCTGGTCCCCCGCTAGGCTGGGAACTGGAGACAGACCTGAATGAGAAGCTGGCAGGAGGCAGAGCAGAAAGGACAGACTTGTGGAGTCCGAGGGAGACGGAGAGCGAAATGAAGATGCAGTCTAGGTTAAGAGTAAGGGAGGGAGGATGCAGCAAGAGGACTCTGAGGTACCAGCTATACAGCCGGCTTAGGTACTGGTAACGTCTTTACCCCTGTGAGGAAATCAAATAGGAGGCGAGGTTTTGGGAGCATGCTGCCTCCACTTAAAGTTGAGCATTTAAATATGAATCTTAGAATAAAGGGTAGACCTGTTGGCCACACGAGTGAATCCCATGAAAGCTTCCAGAACCTGGTTGTGACCAGCCCTGGAGTATGTTCCCACCGTTCTTCTCCACATAGGCCCTTTCATCTGCGAGTGGCAGCCAGGATGGCAGGCTACATCCCCACAGGCCCTGCTTGCTTAGTGACATCCCAGCCTTGGCCTGCTGGGAGCTCTGCAGTAAGATCCCTGGTGACAGGGCATCCCACCTGCCTGGACAGCTGCCTACTCTGCTGCACCCCTCTGAACCATGCCACCCAGAAGAACCACCCAGAAAAGTCCATTCATTCCACCACCTCAACAAAAACAAATCTGGCTTCAGTTAACCTAGACAGGGAATTTCACACTTGTGCTTAGCAATGACCATCAGATGCCATGTTGTTGGTTCGGCTTCAGGTCTGGTCATAGCCTGGTTTATTTCCCACTTGGGCCTGCTTTCCTGTGCCCCACAGCCAGTCTTCTGTGGTCTGGCAAGAGCCCCCAAAATTGGGTCTTCTTGCTCCACAAGCAGAGAGACATGGCACCATGCATGCTGATGGGGTTCCAATCCCCACATACTCTCTTTCCCTAAAAACAGATGCATTCATAGAGAATAGAAGGCCACCAAGGATGCTGAGTGGTCCCCAATCACCAGGGTCTAGTTATTCTGTGTGGCTGGCTCACAAGGTTCTCAGATCCAGCAGCTACAGACAGGGAGGGCACAGGAAGGAGATAAAGATGAGAGTCTGGGTTACAGTAACTTGAGACGGTGAGACACCTACATGGAGATATCAATGAGGTAGCTGGTCACACACCCGAGAGCAGATGCCACAGGCATTGGCCTAGAGACATCCCATAAGCTTTAAATTCCATTCAGGTGCTAGTAGTCATTTGTCATGGTGGTGTTGGACTTAGGGCCTTGCCAGAGAAATACTTTAACATGGTTTGTCTGAAATTTCAACACAAACTCTGACCTCAAAGCCTGTGTCCTGAAGACCAGGGTCTTTGATAGAAATGTCTATCCTAAACACAGAGCTATGGGATAGAGTGCCTTTGGCTCAATTTGTGGCTTTTCTTTTTTCTTAAAAACAGACTGGCCTCAAACTCAATGTGGCCAACTCTGAACTCTTGACCCTCCTGCATCCTCTTCCCAAATGCTGGTTTGTAGGCCTTGGCCACCATGCCTGGTTTATGCAGGGCCATGGATCAAGCCCAAAGCTTCATGCACGCTAGATAAGCACTCTACCTACTGAACAACAGCCTCATCCCTGCGTGTCTTCAATCCTTAAGTGTCCTTCAGCCATTCTGACTTGAAACCCTCAGCCCACGAGGCTAGGAAGAAATGTGTTCTTTCTCACTGCAGAGGTCTCGTTATCCAGCATGGCCCTGTGGGGCCTTCCCATCCAGAGGAACACCCCTCCCTCCCTGTCTCCCAGAATCTTTCTCTTCTCCTGATTCAGAGCATCCCTTCACAAAAGCCAGAAGCCAGGGCCGGGGTTGCTTCTTTGCCATGTACTTGACTCCTTGGTCCGGATACACCTTGAGCAGCTGCTCAGTCAGAAAGAAGGCAAAAGAAGCCCATTGGGTTGGTCACTTTCTTCACTGCTGGGTTGAAAGGCCTGACAGAAGCAACTCAAGGAAGGACAGGTTTGTTTTGGCTCACAGTTTGGGGGTACAGTCCATAACATCAAGAAAGACATGGTGACAGGAATTTGAGGTGACTGGTCACATCGCATCTGCAGTCAGGGAGCAGAGAGCTGAGGGCTGGAGCTTGCTCACTTTCTCCTTTCTGTGCAGTCTGGAATCCCAGCCCACGGGATGGCGACGTAACTCCAAAGTGATTCTTGCTTCTCTCAACTTGACAGTCGGTATCAACTGTCACATCCACCAATCCTAATTTTGCCGAGAACTGCTCCGCCTGGTCTAGGCTCTGCATCTCCCCCTGATAGGTCTGAGAATTCTTGAGGGGATTTGAGATTGGCTTTGCATAAAAAGCAGTGCCTTGAAAGGCAGTCACACCCTGCCCCTCAGTGCCCATCCCCCAGCGCCAACATGGAGCCTGCTATGCAGTGAGCAAGCTAGGCAGACAGATACAAATGCTGCGCCGGGAAATTTTATGTCAACTTGACACAAACTCGAGTCACCAGGGAGGAGAGAATCAGCTGAGAAAATGTCTCCATAAGACTGAGTTATGGACAAGCCTCTAGTACATTTTATTTCTTTTCGGGGATGGAAACTCCAGACAGGATTTGTCTGTGTAGCCCTGGCTGTCCTGGAACTCATTCTGTAGACCAGACTGGCTTTGAACTCACAGAGATCCCCCTGCCTCTGCCTCCCAAGTGCTGGGATTAAAAGTGTGTGCCACCAATGGCATTTTCTTAATTATTGATTGATGGGAGAGAGCCCAGTCCATTGTGGGTGGTGCCACCCTGAGTTGACAAGTCCTGGGTTCTATAAAAAAGCAGTCTGAGCAAGTCTTAATGAACAAGCCAGTAAGCAACACTCCTCCGTGGCCTCTGCATCAGTTCCTGACTCTAGGTTCCTGTCCCACTTGAGTTCCTGTCCTGACTTTCTTTGATGATGAACAGTAATGTAGAAGTGTAAGCCAAATAAACCCTTTCCTCTCCAACTTGCTTTTGGTCATGGTGCTTCATCACAGCAATAGTAACCCTAGGTAGGGCAAATGCCATTTGCAAAATTCAACCAAGAGCCTGGAGACATAGCTCAGCAGTCAAAAGGCCTTACTGCCCTTGTGGAGGATCAGAATTCAGCTACCAGCACCACTTCAAGCTGCTTACACCTGCCTATAACCCCAGGCTCCAGGGGATCTGATGCCCTCTCCTGGTCTCTGTAAGCTCTTGCACACATGTGTACATAAACTCAGACAGACTCACACAGACACATAAATAAAATTTGGGGTTTTGGTTTTGTTTCAGGTTGTTTTTTTTTGTTTGTTTTCTGTTTTGTTTTTCAAGACAAATTCTCACTACGTAGAGCAGGTCAGCCTGGTCCTCAAAGAGACCTGCCACCTCTGCCTCTAGAGTGCTGGGATTAAAGATGCACAGCTCGGGGGGGTGGGGGGAGAAACAGGCAGAGGTAGCACATGCCTTTGACCCCAGCACTCAGGAGGGAGAGACAGGCAAATCTCTGTGAGTTTGAGGCCAGCTTGAAGTTTCAGGAAAACCTTGCCTCAAAAAAAAAAAAGAAGAAAGAAAGAAAGAAAGAAAGAAAGAAAGAAAGAAAGAAAGAAAGAAAGAAAGAAGGAAGGAAGGAAGGAAGGAAGGAAAGAAAGAAAGAAAGAAAAATTAATTCATCAACAAGTACATATTCATCAACAAGTACATATAGCTTTCTGTCTGTGTGGAGCAAGCAGACTTAAGAGAAGTGGACAAGAAGGCAGAGCCCAGGGCAGAGGGACACAAGCAATGCTTGCAGTGGATTCTGCCAGTGCCTCAGACCCCACTGTCGTGCACGACCAAATATGAGAACCTCAGATTCAGGGCACAAGGCTTCTCTCTTTTGATGTCCAGATCAGTCAGGCCTGGAGACTGACAAGGGTGGAGGGCAATATAAAGTGAGAGAGGCTTAAGCATGTGGAAGGAGGCCTGGATCAGCAAAGAACGTGTAGTGTTGTGCCTGTGACCACACTAAAGCACACACGTGTGTGTGAGCAGTGACTAGGGGTTGAAGGGTGGAGGTTCAAGTGAGCGGTGGAAAGAAGTTAAAGGGACAGCATAACCTGGAATATCCTAACCATGGCAGCATTGATTTTTACCTTGGGGGTTTTGTTTCATTTTACAGAACAATGTGGTGCATTGGCGGGGCGGGGGGAGCTTTTGTGAGAAAACTCTCGCCTTCAGCCTTGTCTTTCTCCCAGGAATGAAGTTTGTCCCAGGAGGGACTCTTAGCCTGGAGAGGACATAGGAGTGAGGAAATGAATAGCAGTGGGTGATGTGTGCTGTGCGCAGCAGGACCTGGAAGAACAAAGGCAGGGAGTGGCAGAAGGAAGAGGGTCTCTCCTCCGTGTCCTTCCACTAGCCTGGGGTGGGGGCACTCTGCAGGTGTGGATGAGTGAGCTCAGCCAGCTATGCTGGTGGTGGGGAGCCGGCGGCCAGAGGCCATATGCATATACACTGGCTTTCCTTCTCAATGAATCCATCCTTGTTTTCCTATCTAGGTCCCCCTGGACGGCGCGGCAAGCCTGGACGAAGAGGCGACCCCGGTGAGTCAAGTTTTCTTAATTCCTAAGCCTCCTAAGAGACGCACCATGGACCCTGCTCCCAGCTGGGGGTGTCAACTACCTATTTCCTGGTCCTGGATCTTGTCTTCCTTATTAAATGCCAGCTACTACCTCTGGGTCACCCTGTCTCATATCACTTTCTTGGCATTCACAATCCCAAATTAGCCCCTCTCTGTCCTCAGCTTCCCCCTGAATCTATCTCAGTTCTTCATCGCCCACTCTAAAACAATTCCTCTCTATGACAGCAGGCAGAAACCTTGCCAGCTCTCTGCCATGAGACCATCACAGGATGCAGGTCTCCTGTAGGTCTCAGCTTCTCCCAGACCCCGCCCCTCCTCCCTTTGGCAGAGCCAAAGGTTTTCAGCACCTTCCTCCATGCAAACCTCAGGCTCTCCTGCCCCAACAGCCACCTCCCCCCTTACCTTCATTGCATCCAAAATGAATGTACTCTGCAGAGCCCCTCAGAGCTCGCCCTCTCCTCCCAAATCCTGAGCACAGTTCCCTAGGAATCATCTATTCCTCACCTTCTCACATCTATGACAGCATCTTGGCCAAAGTAGCTAATGGCAACATGGCTACAGCAAGACACTTCACTGTCTTTATCTTCCTTCCTTCTCTATTTCTTTTCTTCCTTTCATCCTTCTCTCTCTCTCCCTCTCTTCCTTCCTCCCTCTCTCCTTTCTTTCTTAGTCAGCTATCAGAAAAAAATCAGGGAACCAGAAAGTGGCTTTAATGGCACTGGCTGCTCTTAAAAAGGACCCAAGTTTGGTTCTCAGCACCTACATTGGATGGCTAACAACCACATCTCCTACTTCAGGGGAATCCAGTGCCCTCTTCTGGCCTCTGTGGTTACTACACTCACATGTACATTCCTTCACACACACACACATTTTTAAGTCAGTTTAAACGCGGATGTGCCCACATTCCCTTTGGTGTTCATTTGTACTTTCTTGAGAGTGCACAACATGTGTTATGGATGAATGTTAATCATCTCAGATCAACTGAATGAGCTTCAGGCAACTATGTACGTAGACAAACATTCAGAGCTGTGGGTGGGATTAGTGCAAAGTCTGTGCATCAGATGACACATTTGCTGCCTAAAGATGTAGAATTTTGTTTCTCAGTGTGATAGATTAATCATGGATAGGCAATCGAAAGCAGTCTGGTACTGCTTCAAGAAGACACTTCCTGGTTATGTGCTCTCTGAGCTAATGATCCCATGAGCATGCATTAACTGCTGAGAGGTGCAGAATTGCTTGCTCCTCCCTGCCTTTGTCTTCCTTGACCCTTACTGCTAACCCTGAGTGTTTCTGGCTCTGTCCAGTCAGTTCACACACACACACACACACACACACGGCACACCCATCACGGACCTCGACATCCCAGTCTCCGCAGTTAGGTACCATTCGCCTCTTAAGTGAGTCTGCCCTTGGCCCTCGCTTCTGTCTCCATACAGCATCCCATTCCTGTGGCCCCAGCTGCCCCAGAACATTGATGGTGCCTTCCTCCATCGGGCCCCAGAGAGTATACATTACCCCTCAAACACAACATCACCCTGTCTCCTCCCCAGACATCCCTGCCACTGGGAAACAACATCCAGCCACTCACTTCCTCTGCAGTATCCCTGATCCTTCCCCATACCAAGTCTCCATCTCTTCATTTTATCTCACACATCTGCTTCCTTCTCTGTCCTCCTGGCTACAGCCTCCTATAGCTCTCACCACCCACCCTGTCCCCAACATGCAGCCTCCCTCCGGTTGTCCAGGGCCTTGTGACCTCTGAACCTTCAAGTCCTCCCCTGGCCTAGACAAGCTTTTTTATACCTGAGCTCTTACAGTGTGTTCATTCTCCTTATCCTCAAAAATCAGACTCAGGTGGCTCCTCTAAGAAAGCATTCTGTAACCTTGTGCCTGGGGCTACCCCCACCTCCAGCATCTGGCATGAAAACACATGGGCATGAGTATGTGCAACCATGCCGTAAACAACATCACAGACAGGGCACAGTTGCGAGGAACCATGGGGCTGGAGGGAACCCCCCAACAAAAGGACCCTGGGCTGGCTGGGTCTGACAGAAGCCAGCAGAGGTTCAATAGAGGCTCCACTCTCCTCCTGGGAGCTGGGCCTGGGTTTCTTTTCCTTCTACAGAAGCCTTCCCGTAAGCTCCCAGGATGCACTGGGAGCCTGGCTCCTGCAAGCTGAAGGGGTTTACGTGTCAGAGAGCTAGTTCCCCTTCTTCTGCCTCGTGTGGCCCACTGCAAACCCTGCCTGGTGCTCGCCTCTTTTGGTTCTTGTTTTCTTCCTACAAAGGTTTCCGTGTCTTTCACTGTCTACTCGCTGACGTCATTTCTGGCAGGAGATGAGAAACTCTGCCACCTTTTTCGGGACAAAATATAATGTGCCTCAGTTTACTCAGAAAAAAAAGACATTACAGGGGCTAGGGAGATGGCTCTGTCAGTAAAACACTTGCAGCTCAAGCATGAGGAACCAAACTCGATCTCCAGCACCCTTGTAAAATGCCACGGTGGCCTGCATTGGTGATCCCAGTGCTGAGGAGACAGGGACAAGCAGACAGGTCCCTGAGTCTGGCTGGCCAGCTCTGCAGAATTGGTGACACATGCCCACGCATGTGCACACAGACACAGACACACACACACACATACTCACACACACACACAGGCCAATGAAAAGACCCTGTTTCTAAAACACTATGGATATTGACTGAGAAATGACACTTGAGGCTGACTCCAGCATCCACATGCACATGTGGGCATGTGAACACAGCACACATATGAACGCGTACGTACCCAACCCAGATACAAATCTCAAATGACATCTCTCCAAAGAAGATGTGTAAATGGCCAGCAGCAGCTGCATGTGGCGGGCATATAATCCCAACACTAGGAGACTGAAACAGGATGATCCTAAACTCAAGGCCAGGCTGGGCCACATAGTGAGTTCTCGGTCAGCCTTTCTCAAAAGAAGAGGAGCGGAGAACAAGAGCAAAAATGTCCAACCGGGGAAACATTTTCCTCACTAATCATCAGGTGAATGCAAATCAGAACTGTGGGATGCATCACCTCGCCCGCTAGGGACAGCTGTGGCCAAAGGACTGAAGACAGCAAATGCTGGTGCAGATGTGCAGAAAGGGAGTCTCCGCCCTCTCTTAGTGGAAGCGCCTGGCAGGAATCAGTATGGAGTCTCCTCAGAGAGTTGTGTGACTCAGTGATCCCATTGACACACAGAAGAAATGATGTCCCGCTGTGGGGGAGGGCCGTCTGCACACCCCCGTTGGCTGTAGCACATTTCACAGCTCAGAAACATAGACAGCCTAGGGTCTCTGCGCCCCTGCAGCTCTGTGCTGTGTCCTCCAAAGCCCTGCATTTTACCCGATCCCCAGAGGACTGCGAGATGAGAATTATATTCTTACCCCCATTTTGCAGAATAAGAAACGAGGCTGCAAGGGCAGCTCTGTCTTGTCTAAGGCTGACCACTGAACAAGCTGACATCCCCCTCTGCAGCCCTCGTGTGAGCTGTTTCTCCCTGACAGAGGCAGCGAGAGTCACACAGAGCAGATACCCCTCTCTGGTTGACTTTGGACGGACCTGGTGTTTATTTCTAGATACTTTCCCATACATGTGCTTCCTGGCATTGTCACCGTCCGTTACACAAAGCCGGCCTTTTCCTGTGCCCCTGGGAGAAAGGCTCTTTCGGAGTACTGGGACAGGATCTGACTGGAGCGTTATCCTCCCACAGAGAGTGTCTGCCATCCACGCGACCAGTTCATTAGTCTCTCCCAGTCAAAACCTTTTCCTGGACAGCATCCTCCCTGCCCTTCAGTGTCCACAGGTCCATCTGGTCCAAGTAAAATGGAGTTCTCACCTACTCCTGGCTAGTTTGCCACTGGAAAACCCAGCACAATGTCTGGTATGGTTGTCTGGGTCAACCTCCCTCCCACGGCAAGCCTGTGTGACGCTGAATTCCAGAGATGAGATTTGTACCTGATGTCCCCAAAGACTGGAAGCCTCCCTAGGGTGCCTTTTAAATAAGAGCATCTTCACCCTGTGGTCCAGTCAGTCTTGGGGCCATTGGCTCTTCAATGTGAAATGACGCAATGGAAAACTGACAGCTGTTCTTCTTTTTCCTGAGGTCTCTGTGCATATGTGCGCATTATACACATATGCACATGTCATGCCCACACTTGTATGCATGTGAGAGAGAATGTGATCTAGTTCCAGCCTGTGCTCAGTATCTCCTGTGTTAGTGCTATTCGGGTTGCTTCACATGGATGTATGTATACACATGAGTGTACACTTGCACAAGTGTGTACACACACGTGCATGCACATGTGCACACACACACACATACACACACACTTTCAGTCCTCCTCAACATCCAGAAAGGCAGACGTGGGTACTCGCCACATTCACAGACACTAACTTCCATCCTACTTCCTCTCTCCCCTCCCCCTCCCTCCCCCCCCCATCAGCTCACACTGCCTCTGAGTTTGCCAGCCTTATTCCATCTACATACAAACTCCGTTTAAAAACCCTTGGGTCACTCTCTTCCCTAGAGAGTCCTGAGAAACATAGCAGAAGGCCTTGAGCTCATGCAAGGAAGGATTTGGTTTCTAGGGGTGTAGATCCTGGCCGTGGCACCACACTGGAGCTAGCTAATACGTGAGCAAGGCAGAAAGCCTGTTCAGCCAAGGAGAGCAGGTAACAGGCAGATGAGGAGCAGTGTCTAAGACAACAGTAACAGTTGTGGGGCTGGTAACAAGGACAGTGACTCCAGCACCCTCAAACCACAAGGACAGCCACCACCTCCACTGTGTGGACCAGGCCCTGCCAAGTTGGCAGACACACTCTGCGGGAAGATCAAACTTACCTTTGGGAGACATTAGAGAAATGACTGACCTTGGGGGAGCCAAAGGCTCCATATGGATAGGGTGGGCTCCCAGACCCACCACCCACCTGTCAGCACCAAACAAAGCAGCTCACCCACCCAAGCAGTCAGTCCCCCTACCTCCCAAGGTGTGGGTGAACATGGCTCCCAGACTGGGAAGCCCTGGCAGGCCACAGACATTCTGTAGACAGTCCTGGGACTCACCAAACCCCCTACTTCCTCAGGCCAAGTCATCTGGCTCTGACTTAATTGCTCCCACATTCCGGGGATTAGAACATGTGTTTGAAAGCTGTATGCCCAAGGGTCAGAGAGCAAAACACATTGTGGAACCAGGTTCGGGGTATGGGGTACCATGTGGTTCACTGGGGGATCTGAACCAGCCTCACTTTCTAAGCAGGGACCCCTGGATGACCTAAGCCATGTGCCCTCCCAAGCCATCTCTCTTGGGTTACCCACTGGCTACAGACCAGAGAATCTGCCTCCAGCGGCTGTGCCAAGCCGGTAAACTCTATAACAAAGTCAAATGTGAAGAGTTTAGCAGAGGTGCTGGCCCAACAGGCAGCTCCTGACGCTCTTGCTCTTGTCTCTTCAGTGCCTGTTTATTAGTGTGTGGACCTGCCGGCCCTGATCTGGGTGGGCGGCAGGGAGCCTGTCAGATGTCAATCACTCCAGGAAAGGCAAACAGGAAAGTTGGCCTTAATTGGACTGGGTCAGTTCCTCTAGTAACCTGAGGGGCAAGAACAGGAAGATGGGCCCAGGGGCAGGCACACAGACAGGAACAGACCAGCATGTTCATCTAGTCTCAAGACGGTGGTTAGTGAGTTTTTCCGTGGTGTTTTTCTTCTCTGGAATACAGGAAGCAAGGCCAATCACTGCGAGTTCAGAGTCTGTGCTGTACATGCTCTGCTCGGGCCCAGTCTAGACAGGGAAAACACAGCTGCTTCTATCAGTGGTGAGACTATTAACACATCTAGTGAAAACTCTTGACCAAATCTCCTACCTTCATGAACCATCTGTCACCCAGAAAGCTCTGTCCCTCCTCTGTGCCAAGCCTCTCCAGACTCTCCTATCTGCCTTATCTGCCTGATGCCACTGCTGGGCCTACCTGCCAAGGGTAGCAGCACTGCACCCCAGTGTCTACTCTGGCCTTTCTTGCAGCCTTCATCGTGTTGAATCTTCAGTGATCCCTACACTGACCAAGCCCTCCTCTATCCATCACATGGAAACAGACCTTGTGCTTGGCCGGCCTTCCCTCCTCTGCTCCATTTCCATCTCAGAAAAAGTCAGGGATTTGGAAGCATATTTCTAAACTTTTCCATCTCTGCTTCTCTCCAGCCTGCCCCTGCCTTGCTCTCTGATTCATTTTGTCTCCCACAAGCCCTAGTGGAACCCCCTGCCTGAGCAGGCCAAGCCAGCATAGGCCCCCTATTTTTGGTTCGTTTATTTGTTAGTTATTTTGTGTTCTAATTGTCTATTGAAGGAACACTCGGATAGGCAGGCCTATTCATTTGTCCTCAATGCTCGGTCCTCTTCCTGACCCACGAGACTCCCAGCTCCCCATTGGCTGTGCAGACCTACTCCTTATTCCTGTGACTGTCAAGAGCTGCCTCATTCTACTGGGTAGGGTCTGAGGTGTGACAGGAACGGAGGAGTTGCAGGTTTGGTGGAAGCATACATTTGTGGGAGGTGCATTGCTTTGGGGAGCTGAGAGACCATCTTCTAAGATGCCCTGCCCCTTAACTGACTCTAACCTTCACAACCATGGGACCCACCAATGCTGAAATCCCTAAGTAAAATGACTTTATATTTGCATATAACCTAACACATCCTCACAGATACATTAAATCGTCTCTCAGTACCTGATACAGTGTACATGAGAGGCAAATTGCTGTTCTACTTATAATGTCATTGAATAATGGTGATGGCCTATTCAATGCAGAAACAATTTTGTTCAAGGATCGTGTGCGTGTGTGTGTGTGTGTGTGTGTGTGTGTGTGTGTGTGTGTGTGAACGAATGTTCAGAGACCAGAGTCAGCATCATTTATCTTCTGTGGGCAAGCCTCATTGTAGCCATCATCATAATTTCTAGACTGTTCCTTCAATCTCCTCATGTACATCTAACCCCAGAACTGGGCTATGGTGGTCCACCTCACTTCTACACAACCATAAATATCTCATGCCTTCATCCCCACCATTCCTTCTACCCAAAATGTTTTTCCTCTTTATCTCTCTCCTCCCTGGTAAAACCCAAACACCTGCTCATTGGACAAGTAAGATCTAATTCATATTTAGCTTTCCAGAGTGTAGCGAGAGTGAGCGCCAACCAGCCTCATGCAATGAACACACGAACCCACACATGTGGGAACCATCATTGCCTCCCACACGGCCACCCAGGCCCCTCCGAGGATGAAAATATCTCTTCTTGGTTCTGTGGCTGACCCTTGTCGGCAGGGCCATTGTGGGCAATATTGTGACCCCATTGAAACCTTGAGCCGATGAGAGAGACTGACCAGAGCAATGTTGACAGTGGCCCTTTGCTTGTGTCTTGCAGGTCCTCCCGTAAGTGTCGCGGACTTGGTGCTGTTCTCCCGAAAGATAAGACATTTATTTGGTTCTCTCTATGAAATTAACTCCCATAGAATCAGCTTTTAGTGAGGGAGGCATGCGGCTTAAACACAAAGAAAAAGGCCAGGGATAAAACTCTCAGCTAGTAGACTGCTTGCCTGGCATGTCCAGCGTGTCCAAGCCCTGTGTTTGATCCCCAGTACCACACATAACACTGTGTGGTGCCAGGCAGTGGTGGTGCACGCCTTTAATCCCAGCACTTGGGAGGCAGAGGCAGGCAGATCTCTGTGAGTTCGAGGCCAGCCTGGTCTAAAAAGTGAGTTCCAGGAAAGTCAGGGCTGTTACACAGAGAAACCCTGTCTTTAAAGGAAAAAACGAAAAAGTCCTGTGTGGTGATATACACCTACAATCCCAGCATTTGGGAAGTTAAGGCAGGAAAATCACTATCCTTGGCTACATAGGGAGGTTGAAGTCAGCTTGGGCTACATGAGAACCTGTCTCAGAAATAAACAAACATAAAAGGTTCCATCCCAGACAGAGGCTGAATTAGTTCTTAAATAGCAGAAGAATTCCCTGACCTTGTCTTACCCACTAGAACATTCTAAACCAGCCTCTTTTCATATGAACCTAGCAAATCCTCCCCCAAATCTTCGGTGCCACTTAAAATATTAAATGCAGACTCCAAGTGTTCTGCGGCTGCTGATATTGTGGCTCCAAGACCAAGTTGGGCTCAAACACCAGGTCCCAGAGTTCATCTTTCTTCTTAGCCAGCACGTCTTGCTCCCAGCTGGGACTTGGTGAGCCTGGCTGACTGACAGAGCAGTTGAAGCAGCACCAGAAGTAAAAATGTCCCTACATTTAAAAGGGGGTGTAAAGGGGAGCTCTGAGTTTGCCTGGATCAGAAGCTGCTTTAATGGCAGCGACTCCGTGGCCCTGGAAATCCCACTCTGTCCGCATTATGGATGTGTCTGCCTCTGATTCCTCTTGCTGGGTTCTCGGGCCCAGATAAATCCCTATGCATCCATTCAAGCAGCACACTGAGAGTCAGCCAGAGCCAAAGTTAACCTTACAAAGGAATTCTTCTCAGCTGAGCCATTTTTCTTCTGACTTGTGCTTCCCATGAGCATCCCCACCCTGCATCAGCACCCTTCACAATCTGGTCACAATATCAGCACAGCTCTGTGCGTGCAGCATCAGTTTAAGCCAAAGAAAAGGCAGGCCAACAAAACTGCATAGGCTTTTGGCCACAAGTGCACTTCCTGGTGGCGTCTCCCTAAGGCCCCTCGGAGGCAGCTTGTGCAAACTTGTGCAAATGCAAAACGCAAGGGTTAAGGCGTGGTTTGGTTCTGGCTCTGTTGTTAAAATATTAAATGGGTTGAACAAACAGGAATTCTTTAGCTACCACTGCAGAGGGAGGCGGATGTCCCTGTGTGGGACACTGTCTCAGGTGTCAAGTGGCCTTGAGCAGACCTGACCTGCGCTGGGGGAGGACAGAGAAACAGTCAGTAGCAATATCTGGTCCCCATATCTCTAGCTTCCAGAGCTTTCTTAGCTTAACCTGTCCCAGTAGGAGCAAGGATGAACTGAGAGCCTACTGCATTCCTCGTGGAAGGGACATTTCAGTCCCTCGTTTGGTCATAGTGGTTGTGACACATCCCTCCAGCCTTATGACCACATGTTCTCTGTCCTGTGCCAGGACTGACATGGAGGTGACACACATGGGTGCAGTGCCTTGATGGCTCTGAGGAAGGACCCTAGCCCCTCCCCCATGGCCTCTGATGGGAGAAGGTAGCTGTCCATCTGACCTACCAGAGCCCTGACTTCGTCCCCCTGAAACGACACACTATTGTTGGCAGCATTAGTACCCCACAAACCACCAGAGAACAGCAGGGGGGTTATGGCCGGAAAGAGTTATAAGCATTGCCATATGGTTTTCTGCCAAAACTCTGATTATTAATGGCTTATTAATTACCACAGGGGCAATCAGGACGAGATGGCTACCCGGTAATTGGCATTTTTTTGTTGTTGTTCTCTCTCTGCCTACTCCTTTTAATCTGGCGCTCTCCCCCTGAACCTTGACTGAGCTGTCTCACTCCAGCTTCTTCCTCCTGCGCTCCTCAGCTGCTGGGCTGGTCCCTTCTGTGGAAAGATCAGCGTGCACTCTGGGCAGACCCCCCTGAGATGCCTCCCAGGCAAAGCAAAGAGGCTTCCAAACAGCAGCTCTCCTTCCAGCCCAGTGTACTTGCTGAGCCTGGAGTCTGGCCCTGGCTGGCTTGGGCATACCTTCCTGGGAGACACAACTGGACCGCTTCCTAGTGGCAGGGACTCCCTGGGGTCTGACCACTCAAAATCAGGGAGCGGGTTAGTTCCAGTTTGGCATTTGTGGTATGAAAATGGGATTGATGTCCCTATCCAGAACAAATGAGTACCATATCAATGACAAGGACCTGAGGTGCCATGCTGCTGCCATCGGGGCCTTGCCAAGGTTAAGGAAGATGACAGTAGCTTCCAGAAGGACTGATGCCCTGGAACACACAGGGACCGAGTCAGGTGTGGTGTTACATGGCTGAGGCAGGAGGACTCACATGAGTTTGAGGCCAGCCTGATCTACATAGTAAGATTTTGCTTCATCAAAAAAGGCTTGGGGAGAGGATATTGGTGAGGCCTGTAGAACAGAGCTCGGGGTGTCTGTCAGAGGCAAGGGTTTATTCTATGCCTTCAGGTAGAAGAACTCAAGGAGGGAAATACCAACTGGCTCAGAAATCTGTCTAGAGTCAGAACTGGCTAGCAATGGCGATGTGGTCCCCAGCCCTGCAGGGCATGCCTCCCAGAAGGCTGGGGAAAGCAGCCTATCCTTGAGTATCAGGGAGCCCTGGGCTTGATTCCAAACCTACAGTTCCATAGCTTGCTGAAGGTGCACACCGTCTCTGAGCCTCCGTTTCCTCCTCTGGGAATGAGACCGATAAGGCCTCAGACACAGTATGGGAATTGAGATGAAATGTGACCAAGAGGTAACAATTCTGCACAAAGAACAAAATGAGTCGTATATAGCTCTCTGGGACGTGATAGGAACATTTATCTTGTGCCCAAAGCAACCCTGTGCTAGGTCCAGGCCCCTTTGGAGTCTCCCAAAGGGTGGCTGCGGCAGCTTCCCCAGCGGGCATCTGACCTCTCAGACTAGAGCTCTACCTGAAACATGACATCCACAGAGCACACCGGGGTCAGATCCTGCCGGGTCCCAGAACCTCTTTCTGACTAGGAAGGAGTCGAGCCCCCACTCTGACTCCTGCAAGCAGCAGCAGGGATCTTGGGGAACCACAGGCTTTTGCAGGGTTATGTCCCCAGTTAAATTCTTACTAGCTGGGAAGGACTAGAATCCTTCTAGCAAGAACCTCTAAGTCCTAGCAGACTTTGAAAACGTACCCACCCTTCTCGAGGTTTCTCTTTAGGATACAGATTCTCTTCTGTGTGGCACATAGCATCCCAACAAGCCCACTGTTGATTGAAAAATATATCATATGTTTAAAAAAAAAATAGTACCTGGTCCCTCCCACTTCCCAACCATCCTGGCTAAGAACAGCCTGCGGCAGAGCCTTGCTGTCCCCTCCCACACCCGCACACCCCTGCCCAGTCGTGACCTCAGAGCAGATACGGAGCTGCAGCCCCCTGCCACGGCCAGCCGCATGCGAGAGTATCTTAACACACTATCCTGGAAGAATCAGATCCCAAACCCCAAGCCCCGTTCCCACTGATGCTTTGCTTTGACGCCGTTGCAAAAATCCCAAAGCATACTCTCCAAAGTTGAGCCTCTCTGCACGTGCAAGGCCCAAAAGAAAGTGGGAAGTCTCTACTGTGTACTGTGAACATACACTGGCCCGGGAGCCTTCTCCCCTGGCTGAGAACATCAGAGCCACTGGCTGATGGTGGCTGCCAGGGTGTCTGTCCCGACAAAGGCTTCTTCACTCCGCGTCATCCCTGCCTTCTTCCCAGGTCTAGGGGAGGGAGGGGATGGCAGGAAGCCAAGTGTGGGGTTAAGCAGCAGGTTTGAATCCATCTCTGCTGCCACTGGCTAGCTGAGAAGCCTGTAGTAGGAGACCCCACCCCTAAAACTGCCTGAACCTGGGACTCCTTCCTGTCAGTGGAGACTGTCCTTTCCTCAGGAAGCTGGGTTTCTGGTGAATGGAGATTCACAAGGAGCACTCATGACATGCGGGTCACGGCTAACCAATGTTGTCTAATGGGCCATCAAAGGCACTGTGGGAATTAAATGTGAAATGTGGCGTATGACAGATACCTGGCCCAAAGCCTGGCCCACAGAGGGGATCTGTGAGTTCTGGGATGGGGGCGGGAGTAAAGATTTGTGTGCCAGGAACTCAGGGGTCCCTATGTCCTGATGCAGGTAGTTCTCTGAGGAGGTCAGTGAAGGCCCAGCAGGCCAGTTGTCCCCACTTCCTGCTTGCAGGCCTGAAGCTCATGCAACCTCTCCTCAGGTCACCGTGGCAAGCTGGGTCCAGTGAGCAATGAGGGGACCCGAAAAGTCCTCTAGAGAGCTGACATCACAGCCCACAATCACCTTTTCCAGCTGGGATATGGACTCCCGTTTCTACATTTTACTACCTGAGCTGGCCCACTGCGGAACTTGGGGCGTTCCTGTCACCAATGCTGGGTGCACACCTGCACTTGGTTCTGGTCCTAGATCTGGCCCTGCCACATGGGTTGTTTCCTGAGACCTGAGTGGGGAGGGGGTACCCGCTGCCAGAGAGGAAGCAGTCCCAGCGAAGGAGAAGCTAGACGTCACGGGCTACTTCTGCCCGTGACGTTGGGGTTCAGTTCCTTCTCTCAGCCTATGGAAAGCAGAAGTGCTCCAGCCAGGCCGCAGCTCAGGGATCAGTGGCTCCCGTGGGGTCAGCACGACTGCCCCGTGTTATATGTCGTCCATATGTTGGAATAGAGCACTATACTGCATCAGCTCGTTCATGACGATGAGCAATTACAAATTTAGATAATTTGGATGTGGTGCTAGGGGACTGAACCCAGGGCTTCATGCATAATAGGCAACTGCTATACCACTGAGCCATAGCTTCATCCCAACAGAGAACTCATGTATGCACACATGCTAGCACAGGTTCACTTGCCCAGCATGAACATGTAGAGACCAGAGATGGACTTCCATGGTCTTCCCCATCAGTCTTATCCACCCCCACCCCCAAAGTTGTTGTTTTTGGGGGGGTCTTTTGTTTTTGTTTTGTTTTTGTTTTGAGATAGGGTCTCTCAATGAACCCAGAGCTCGCTATTTTGGCTGGATTGTCTGGCCAGGAAGCTCCAGGGATCTCCTTGTCTCTTCCCCTGCCCTCCAGGCCCCCAGGGCTGGCGGTATCAATGTATGCCACCGTGTCTGACATTCACCTGGACATTGAGCATCAAAACCTAGGTCTTCTTGCAGGATGAGGCTGGAGCTCAGTTGGTCGTGTGCTTCCCTCGTAAAACTTGGAGGGTTGACGTACACCTATAATCCCACACTTGGGAAGTGAGGGCGAGAGAATCAGTGGTTCAAAGTTGTCTTTAGTTACATATTGAAGTTGAGTCAGCCTGAGCTACATAAAACCCTGATTCAAAGGTAAATAAACATGCCGGGCGGTAGTGGCACACACACTTGGGAGGCAGAGGCAGGCGGATCTCCATGAGTCTGAGGCCAGCCTGGTCTACAAGAGCTAGTTCTAGGACAGGCTCCAAAGCTACAGAGAAACCCTGTCTTGAAAAACCAAAACACATAAAATAAAATAAACAAACATGCTCTGAAGAGATGGCTCAGCAGTTAAAAGCGCTTGTTCTCACCAAGGGCCCAGGTTTGGTACCCAGCACCCATGGTGACTCACAACCATATAACTCCAGTTCCAGGGTACCCAGTGCCCTCTTCTGACCTCCACAGGCATCAGGCACCCATCCATACAGGGAGACAAAGCACTCATGCACATAAAATAAAGCAAATCTAAAAAACAATTTAAATACATAAATATTTTTTAGAATGGGAAAGAAGGGCCAGCGAGATGCTCAGGGCTAAAGGCACTAGCCGTGCAAACCTGACTGCCAGAGTTCAGTTCCCAGAATCCACGTAAAAGGAGGAATGAGAAACCAATTCCACAAAGCTGTCCCCGGACTCCACATACACACTGTGGTGTGCGTGCCTACACACATACACACCAACAAATAAATAAATACAATAATGACGATGTAATAAAAATATTTAATGAAGAAAAATGAGGAAATCTGCTCAGCGTACACCTAGGCATTTGGCTAGAAACCCAATGTTGAGATTGGTCGGTTTTAGGATGTTTGGCTGCCGAATTTTAGTGTTGGTATTTTTTTGTTTGAGGGCATCTTAGAGACCCTGTTCATTTTGTTGGCAAACTTCAGGAGCGGGGAGGATTTTCTGGCCTGTGCTTCTTTCATTCATCCCTCTGCCCGCCCCACCCCCAGCCGAAACCAGGTCCATATGCATCGCCAGTAGGAGTGACTGAGGGCCGGGGGCAGCAGGGGCCACCCACATCTGTGAGGCAGGTTATGGACTCAAGGGGGTCAGAGCTGACAGGGCTCCGGGGTCACTGTCTTCATGCCCTTCCTGAACAGAGGCTGTCTGTCCCTCGTGCCCCCAAGGGCTTGTTAACAGAACCTTATGGTTGCAATAAATGCATGTCATGTCTGTTGTAAAACATTTGGGAAATAGAGAAAGGCACACACACACAAAAAAAAAAAAAAAAAAAGGAAAAGCAATCATCCTTCCTCCTACCACCCACAGACAATAAATCTCACTATTTTCATGTTGTTCTAGCATTTTTTTATATGCAACTTTGTTCCCATACTTCCACTATAAAACAAGGCTATAGGGACATGCTTCACTCTGTCACTGGATAGATCAGGAGACACTCCCACATCATTAAAAACTCTTGCAGTATGTAATGGTTACAAAGTATCTGATCACATGTATAATTTTATTTAGTCAATCT